AATATGACAAAATGTCACAGACATGTCTCATGGGATACAACAACGAAGTGATATTTTTTGTCCAAAAGGTCAAAGGTGAACTTCACTGTGCCATCATTATGTCCTCAGAAACACTTTTTGGGCATTAATTAACAGCAGGAACAGAAGGGGACATTGTGACCATGTTTCACAAATGGTCGGACACTGAACTGGTGACACTTTTGACTCAAAGGTCAAAAGCTATAATTTAAGAATGCATTGAGCAATTCCAGGTTTCACACACATGTTGACAGCATGGGATGACACAATGAGGACAATAACTAGCACAGTTCAGGCTTTCATCTTTCCATCTCATTGATTCTGCCTTTCAGTTCCTGCTTCAATCTGAATTTTGAGCATCATCATGTGACGCGCACGCCAAATAATGGTCATCCTTTTCTGCTTTCTGCTGACACGGTTGGGATTTGCCTGAATGCAACCAGAAACAGTGTGCAGGCCTGACCCCTCTCACCTTCATACTTCTTATCTCATGGCATGTGTCCTCATGCACATGCTTGAAAATCAAGTGAACGAAGTTACCAAAGTATCTGTTCAGTATATTTGTGAAGGTAAAATTGCCCCCTAAAAAAACGCTTTCTCTATCTCTTATTGTTTCTAAATGTAGCACTTGTAGCCCTCTAGCATATTTGATTAAGTTGATGTACTTGCATGATTCTTGCAATTCCTCATGGTTGAATGCATCTTTAGATGAAAGTGTCATCTGAATAAATGTGATGTAAAACTTTGCAGTCGAAGTTCAGCTGAAAAAACACACTGAAGCCGAGGCAGAATAATAGAAAGAAAACAGCACTCTAAAGTTACATGGCAGGTCAGCTGTTTTTATTATGTTATTTCTCTCTTTTCATATGGAAAGAAAAAAAGAGTGTATTGGAGAAAAGGAGTTGATAGGGAGAGGAGTAATGTCTCCATAGCTCCATTACATTATTTCTTATATTTCTTGACCCTGTTTTGAGTTTCACTTTTGACTGTTTCAGGGCCAGTAGCCATCTGAAATGAGTTTTCTCGAGGTACCTACACATGTGGGTGAGGTTCACACAGAGACAGAGCAGGAAAAAAGAGAAGGACAAAGAGAGAGGTTACGTTAGAGCAAGGTTGGCGTATGTCTGGGTTGTTTGTCTGCTTTGGGCTTAAGAAATTCGGGCCCCAAGTTCCCTACCTTATTTCTCGTGGCGACAAAGTAGAAGCAAAATAACAGTGTGTGTCTGTGTGTGTTGTCCCTCACGACTACCTGGCTGCTTGCCTTCTGATTTACTTCCCGCCTAGCTTGGTGAGGAGATGCTGCTCTCAATGAGCAATGACTCACTGTTCAGTGGGAAACATGTCTTTGTGCATATGTGTTAGTGTGCGTGTGCTTGTTTCTCTCATGTCTGTGCACACGTACCTTGGAGAACAGCTGCCCCTTTCATGGGAAAACTGAAGTACTACACTGTTATTTGTCCGTGTAACAATGACTTTGATCCTGCCTTTGTTCACATACAGCTGATAAACCATCTGACAAGGAAACAACTGAGAAAAACAACCTTTAATTTTGGAAGGAGATTTGCTCCTTGATACTACTGTTTTTCGCCTTTGTGTGAAACTACATAATTTAAAACCCTCAATTTACTTTCCGTTTACAGCTGCTCTCAGAAGAATCCAGATCATCCCAAACCCTGTGAAAGGAGGTTGTTTGAACTATTGACAAACTAAGTGAAGAAAATGGATAAGACATAAAAGGAATGTTCTTGAACTACTGTGGGAATTCAAAACCTTATAAAACAGAATATGCGGTACAGTGCACTGACAAAAGGAAAAAAAGAATTTGCACCTGTATTTTTGCTCTCAGCCACTGGGGATGCATGAGCTGGTACATTCCTAATAACCAGTCCAAAGCCTGTATAAATGAATAGGGTTGTGTCAGGAAAGGCATCCAGTGTAAAAATCCTATGCCTAATCAAATATGCAGATCATCAGATCTACACATACCCTGTGGTGACCTCTACAGGGAGAAAGAAAAAAAAAAAAAAGAATTCATATATATCGTTATAAATGAGGACGTCAGGCTTTAGAGATGGAAAGGTGTGATAGATATAATCTTGATTCAGCCAGCGTGTGAGTTCAATGTCTAGTCTTCTTGAATTTCACTCGTCAAAAGGATAATTTTCTTAATTAACATCATCTTAACATGACATTTATCTTCACTCGTGAGATCACTTCTTTTTGTTTCCACTTTAGTTTTATTTGTCTTCAGAATTTTCAATTTAGCAACGAATGAAATTATCATGTTTTCTGCCTGTACACAGATTTTTTTCACTTATTTTAAAGTTAAAAAAAGACTATTTGGAGTCAGCACTTGATATGACTTGCTGAGATGAATATTTTTGTAGTGCTGCCTCTGCTATGTGATCACTCTGTTTTTCCTCTGAACAACAGCTCTGTCAGAGAAAACAATTTACTCACAAGGAGAATATAAACATATAAGTACAGCAAATAGAGACATTTTTAACAGGATTGTCTCACAAGTTTTCTTAGTTACATTCAGTGTAAAGATTTTAGTTGCAGCTTTGTTTTCCTCCACTTTGAAAGATTTTTAAGTTATGAGGTTTCTTCTCCATCCATGATTTGCCAAAGTTATTTAACTTTCACTGAATTTTTAACTCTTAATATAAAAAAATAGCACTTTGCAGTGACACAAATTTGATTTTAATGATAATTCTTTTGAAGAAGACAAGCTTAAAAGAGATTCTACTGAACTACTTTCTGTAGTCGTCACAAGTCAGGATGAGCTGAACAAAACAAGACGAAAACTTCAATGAGTTTTCATTTATTTATGTAGAAAACAAAGAGTTACTGTACATGCTCAAGTCAACACATGCATAGTGAAAAACAAGTATTGTCTTCCAAACAAGCGTAACAAATAGGAAGCATAGACAATACAAAAGTAAGCAGTGGGAGTATTGTGACTGGTGCAGATAATTAACAAGTGCAGAATTTACAGGTTGCAGTGTTGGTGTGTTAATGAGCTAACTGGTCTATAAAAGGCAAATTTTGCCATTCTCACAAGCCAACAAGTCTTATAGCGACATCAGTAGTGAGCCACGTCATTGGTCAGGAGGGGGTCTGACAAGTGGAGTTTGTATGTTGGTTTACCAATATGTCCACTGCACCTGTGTTGTTTAGATGTTGACTGATATTCCACAGTCAGTGAGTGGAGCCTTTGGGTCTCTTTATGGACAAATGCTTAAAGGGGAGGTGCGCCGACATAAACATCTGTCTGCTTACAGGTAGTGGGGAGTGTATAAAGCCTTTTGTGGCTCTAGAGGGAGCTGCGGATAGTCAGATAAATTGCCTCAAGGGATGTCACTTGAGTCAGCTTTGGGTTGGGGATGAATAGTTTGAAAATGAAAAAAAAAATCTGGGGCTGTGGAGGCTAGAAAGAAGTGAGCTTGCCAGACCTCTGTAGCTCATCCTCATCTCTGCTTGAGGCTAACAGCTCGAGGCTACATTAGCTGCTATTAGTGTAACACACCCGACTATCCTATATCGAATAATATCTACAATGTAAAAGAGGTGCAATGCTAAATTGGTGGAGTACTCTTCTAACACAGTCTCTTGGCCCACAGACCACCGGATGCACAATGTTGTTTATGTGGAACATTTACTGTAACATTTAATAAACAATCAGTGCTAATTGAAACTTGTAGATTTAATTTTAGATACAAACCCAAGACCATATCAGCTTCACATCATTTATGAGCGAACATGCTCTCCGCTCAACATCTGTCAACTTAAATGAATTCAAATATTCTCTCCCAGTGAATGAACTCCTGCTATTCTTCTTTCTTCTGTGGAAGAGGAGGAGGACTATATGAGGAAACTGTTGGTGTGGAAATGTACTACGGCAGCAGCATGCTGTGGGCTTCAGAGTGAAGGCACAGTAGCACACATTGTGTCCTCTTCTCTAGCCAACTGCTTCATAGAGATTCTCAGAGGCTTTAAGACTGCCAAGGGCCTGGTTGATTTTGGACGGACATTACTGTCTGTTTTTTGAGGTTTTCTTCCCATAGTGGCTCTCTTCTCGTGCCAGCAAACACGTTCAGAGGTGCCATTGTGTAATTGCCATTTCATATATGTATGTGTGTCATTATCTTGTAGGTGTGTGTTCCTGAGTGTGCGGCTCTCCGTGAAAAAAAAATGTATTACCCAGAGTGAGGATCAGCAGCCATTTACTAACTGAAAGGCTCTAGTGAGCTGTTAGAACCACTCTCCGCCATGTTTTCTGACCGGCTTCAAACCCAGAAGTGTGGCCAGCACAAACAATTAAAGGCAAGCCCACTGTGATCGTAGCCTTATTCTTTCATTATGGATCAACAGCAGCAGGGGCTCTAATTAGTCGGGTTGGCTTGCTGAGGAAATGAATGGGCACTGATTCGACCGAGGGGCTGAAATGGGGGCTCCAGGGGCTGCGATGAGCCGGATTCTTAGAGTCAGTATTGGCAGGGAATCGCTCTTTCTGATTTTTTGTCTATTTATAGCCATTAGCTCTCATTTGCTCACTTTGTCAGAACTTGCCTGCTGATTGACTCTCCCTGTTGCTTCGGGGCATATTATCTTATATTCCCAATTACTCTTCATTTGCTTTGCTATCATAACCAGGAGAAAAAGATCTTGCAGCGCCCTTTTGAAATCACCAATCTGTTTTCTGAATAAAAAATGAGCTCATGAGGTAAACCTTCTGTAATCCTACACAACTCTTCAAATATACAATAGTCATAGTCAGTGCCTAATCATAAAGTTATGTTTTTGGCTCGCAAAGTTGATTTCTAGGGAGGATTTTTCAGACTTCGATACTTGTTGTACCTCGAATGCTTGAACACTTATGCTGTTCTTATCCCCTGATCGCACACCTGTGTGCTCCTATCTCTCCCCCTTCTCTTTCTCTCACACCCACTCTGATCTGTCTCCTGTCTTGTGTGTTGCAGCTGGGTACAGAGTGGACCGCTCCAGGCGAGTTCAGCAAGTTCAGGTCCCAGTCCTCCAAGTCTGTGCAGTAAGTACCTGTGACAACCACACACATTTCCTAACAGCACAGTTATTTCACTCTCAAGCCAGTATAGAGAGCAAAAGAAAGACCCTGCTAACATCAAACAATAAGCTTGACAAATACACACCACCACTAGAGCTTCTCTGAGGACCAGTCCTGTGGTTGTTAACAGTAAAGTGTCTCTCTACCTGTTAAGTAACAGTCTGTGCCCATCGTGCCATGTGTAGAATCCATTCATGTCGATCTACAGCTTCATTATAAAATAATTGCTTCAAAAGGCTTGTGTCTCTTCTGTGTGTATGTGTGTACTTTCACGTAGATACGTATAAATCAACATATATAGAGTGCTCTCATCAGAGTGTGGAGGACCATAGAAGTTGAAAAGCCCTCTTTCTCTAAATGTAAGATCAGAATGTATTAACCTAATCAGCTCCTCTCAGATTCAACACGTCTCTCTTCATAATTGCTGGGAGCTGCTTGCATAAAAGCACACTTTACTATGAGCTTCTAAAGTCATTGTTAAGTTGATATGATTATGCAGCAAGAGGAGATCGTAAGAACGGTGCTTTTATTCCTTTGGGTTCCCACATTTGCCTGATTGGATGAAGCTGTAGAGTGCTTCCTTAAATTATTCACACACACATACACACACACACACACACACACAGACACACTGCCAATAGTGTTTGTAGTGAAGGTTGAGAATATTTTAGCACTTCTAAAAGGTACAAGCTGGATGATGAACGCACACAGTTTTGTTTACAGTTATGCCTCTTTTAAAAGCTGAAAGCTGTGGATTAGGAATACAATGTGAGTGAGTCTAAAACATATTCTACTAATAAGATAAACTATAAGATAATAAGCTGTCTAGGGCTTGCTGATCTATATGCTAATATTTTAATTATTTATTTACAAATATTTGTATAGTGCCAAATCACAGAAGTTATCTCAGGACCCTTTAATATAGAGCAGGTCTATACTGTACTCCTTAAATTATTTACAGAGACTCAACAATTCCCATCACGAGCAAGCGCTTGACGTCAGAGGCAAAAATAAACGTCCTTTTAATAGTAATAATAAGAATTAAAATATAATAACATATTTATCGTGACATTACAAATTAATACAAAACCACATGCAGGCAGTAAACTGTCCACTGTCATGTACAAAACCTTTTTGTTGGAATTGCGACTTCTTCAGAATCATTACTTTGTAGAACAACAACATAATGTGATCATATCATCAGGATACAGTTGTACAATCAGAAAGACATCTCATATCAGCAGGGCGAAAGCAGAACTCTCAAGTGGGGCTAGAGTGAGTATACAAGGGACACAGCTGTTCACCATAATCTGTGCGCACATGATGACAGACGTACTAGATGATGGGATATACATTAAAATTTCCGATGTATCAAAGAAATACTCTTTTGGTTTACTAGTTGAATTGTTCATGAATCAGGCTACAATGCAGTGGCGACAGCAGCAATAGCTGATAGCAGTATTAATAGATGTGTGGGTACATAAATGGACCTCTCTGTTTGGTGACAGCGAGTGTAGGTGTGCTGTCGGCGCTCTGAATCAGATGAGCTGAGTGGCCCTAACGACTCCATAATCCTGACTCAACTTACGATATGAGCTCAATTTGTGGAATATATGAGAGTGATTTAAGTGCCCACTTTGAAACCCTAGTTGATATTAGTTTTGGTACGTTACTCACAGACCTTTATTTGTATAATATGTGCTACAGATTTATTTACTGAAGCTTTCAGTTTTAAACTAAAATAAACTAAATCTATTATCCCTGATTGTAAGCTCCTCAGTATGATGCAAAATAAAAAATAACTGCAGAGGCCTTCAGTCCTAACATGAGAAAATGTCCCTTGTGGAGTTTTACTATATTTTAAAATGAAAGTGGTATTGTCAAACTATGCTAATTTAGTACCTAGTTGTCAAGATTTAAACAAAAGGTTTCCAACCTCAGTTGTTATAAAAGTACTGAAAAATCCTTCCTACTGATACATTCATGTCATGTCCAAGGCCAAGTCCAAATTATGAAAAATAAATGAGATGGAACACACATGCTGAACACTTGAATGTACACTGTGTCTCATGACATACTACAAATTCTATGTTTTTTATTACAGTATTTATTGACATTGCTGTTAATTCAGTCTGACTAACGGTATCACTCAAAGGTGTCATCATGTGTCAAGGTCTCATCATAACTGTTTATGTATCATTATGTGTCATTCTAGGAAGGATTATTAAGATGCATAAAACCACAAGAAAATCTTAATGCTCATTAAAAACCATGCATCTGTTGCACATTCTGCCTTCCTTTGTAAAGACACTTAGTCACACACACACACACACACACACACACACACAAATACACTTGAAAAAGAGAAAATTCATTAATCCCATAAGGGGTGGAATTCAGGCCAGGACCTGTTGGCGAGTGTTTGTGTTGTCTGTGCGTAGGCTTAACTGGGCCTGGTTAGCACAGCAGGCACACCAGACTACAACGGAGCGCAGAGAAATGATAAAAGATGAAGTAGGAGAATAGAGGAGGAGGAGGAGGCAGCTGAGTTTTTCTATTTTCTCTTCCTGTCTGACAATGTGTCTCGCGTTTTCTGACAGTAGACAAGACAACAACAGAGTAACCAAGCGTGGAGGTAGAATACATCAGGTACATTAAAAAGATTGTTCCGCAGAGAAAGTTATATGCGACATTACGTGTTTCGTGATCTGAGACTTTTTGGGTGTGTGTGTGGATGGATGTGTGCATGTCTTTATGTATGTAGAGACTGCAGGATAGTTTTCTTGAATTTGAGCAGCCAAAAATTTCCAACATTCCTACGTCGTGTTCTCTCTTCCCACCTGAGATCTGATACAACATTGATATCTATCACCTTCCACACATGTAGACACACACACCAGTTGTTGTTCACTACCTTCCTCTCGAAATCTTTTAATACTTTCTACCCCGATGTGTAAAGTGACTCATTATTCCACTGTCAGATCAGGAAACCACAGTTGAAACGGTTGCAAAATTGTGGCTGCTTTACGGGTGGAAGGGGCTAATGACTAAAGCCAAATCTGTTTTTATTTTACAGCTACACTCTTTCACATGCTTTAGGGGAAGTGTGTCAAAGACGATGGGAAAGTCTAGCTTAAGATAATTAGGCAAAATCTGGTTTGATGTTCCTGTGTGTGGGCGTGTGGAAGAAAACATATTCATATTTCTGCATGCGAGAGAATACATGCCTCTGTGCATTTATGTGCGTGTGTATGTAAAATGCCGTGACATTTGAAATCTCTCTCTGCATTCCGATGACTTTATTGAGACATCCCACAGCAAAAGGCTGTTTGTTTGTCATCTTCCACATGTTCCCTCTGCACTTTGCAACTTGAATTCCTCATATGCCATTAGACTCGACCTGTTTATAGCAACACTGATACGCTCCAGAGTGTGGCAAATTGTGTGTGCAGCAGGATTAATTGCCATGCATTCATAAAAAGGTATTCTTCAAATTAGATGGGATAGAATTGAAATGAGCAAATTAGCAGTGCAGAACAGAACAAGATATAATTTTCTAAAAAAAATAAATAAATGCATCAGAGTGTGTGTACAGCAATAATAATCAGTCATTAGACATATTTTTTCACCTGGTTATTTGAAACATTTGTAAAGTACATGAAATAAAGAAATTGAACAAAATGAATTAGGTGTTTGTATACAGTGATATTACATTAAATGTTTAAGATGAAAAGCCACTGTGAAAATCGTCATTATTTTAATCATCATTATCATTACACCTGATGCTACAGCTATCCCATGGCAGCATGATCCTCTTGTGCAATCTGTTATTGAAGAATAAGATCAGGGCCATTTGAGCCTATTTACAGGCACCATTCTACCACAGCTGGAATTTAAAACAGTTTTCACTGTTTATGTGCTACTGTCCCTGCGTATTATAGAAGGATAGAGTGAAATGGGACAGAGCTGAAGTAAAATGGAGCATAAAAGAATGGAGATGAATGGTGCGGAGCAGAATACAACCAAAGCGAGAGCTGGCTTCAGAAATGTAATTTAACAGAGGGGAGCTGAATGAAACACAACAGACACTCCCACTTTAGCAAGGTTGTTCTTTCATGCTTTGGACTGCGGTTATTTATATGTCTCGGTTCATTTGAGCTGTATGGCCAACTGTAGTAGAACTGAGTGAACAGTGACTAATGGCTGCTGCAGGGTTGAATCATATTGTCAGGGAATGAAACATATTGTTGTTGAGGGGTTCACGAAACACTTCACTCGCCTGTTGGAGGTCTTGGCGCGATGCAATCAAAGGTTACTGAAACCAGCAAACATGCACACACACACACACACACACACACACACACACACACACACACACACACACGCACACGCGCACATATCACATACACAGTACAGTACATAAAATCTAAACACCCTCCATTTGGCCATCCCTCTGTGGTTACTCTTCGTCTTGGATGACTGCAACTAGAGCTTTCAGGTGCGCAACCCTCATCTAAACTGCCACATGTTTTCCATCAGCCCCTCATTCTCTCTCTCTGTCTCTCACTCCCTCCTTATGGCCTTCTCCCTCTATCTCACTCAGTCTGATGCCATAATGGCAATTACATTTGTGGAGCGAATTTGAAGCTGGAGAAGGGGAAAAGAGATGAAAGGGTATGGGCTTTCTGTAGTGTGCATATGCTGTTGTTCAAAGCGCATGCAGCGGATACACATGCTGTTCAAAAACTGAACAGAAGTGATCATTTTCTTCAAACATCCGTTCATCGCCACCAGTGGGGTGTGGCCTTCCTGTTGCTGTGTGGCGTGTGAAAGCCCGTCCTAGGTGGCAATTTAAATAGATGGGATGGACAGGAACATTGGATCAGTACACCTGTTTGGGAGATCTGGTAGCCATCCACACCACCTGGCTATGACCACCTGGAGGTAATGACTCACACTACTTG